GGGTTTCTTGGGTTTATTACACACCAAATGCCATGCACGTAACTTGCTTGAGGAGAGGCCTGGCACACAGTGAGTGCTCAGTTAATACTGGTCATTATCACACTGCAGCCAGTTATCTGTATGAACTGAGTTTCGATCCTGGCATAAACACCCCAGAGTTTCCCTCTTTTCTACAGTGGACAGGATACTCTGTGTGCGTGTGTCCCCTGTGCAGTTTTGAATTCTGGAATTTTGGAGGACCCGCACGAAGAGAATGAGATAGCAACCACGTTTAACTGCCCAAGTGCTCGCGCTGTGCCAGGCACTTTGCCGCGTGCTTCATCATCCATTGTCTCATTTGTCCCACATGACAGTCCTGTGAGGTTCCTTCCATTCGTATTGTCTGCATTTACAGATGAGAAAACAGAGGAACAGAGAGGTGATCAAGGGGAATGGCAGAGCTGGGATTCAAATCCATATTAGATGATTCAAAATGATACAAAAATAAAATGGTGGTAACTGCAGTGTGAACCCCAGTCAGTTTGACACACCCAGGTCTTTACAGCCTTCATAGCTAATGGAATCACCTGCTCGCCGGCCCTTTGGCACAGGCTCTCTCTGTGAAAACTGGAGACTGTCCCCATGGGGCTTTTTCATATGGAGGAGACAAAGTTTCCACATGTTCTAGCAAACACTCGATTTTTCTTCAGCGCTGCCTTGATATTACACTGCCTTCCTGCCTCTCAGTCACCCCACTTTTTACCTTTCCCTAATTCACTGCCACTTGATTCATTCAGTACGATGTTCCTTCTGACAGGCCTCACCGTAACAGTTGTGTCTTTAGTGGAAGCAGAAATGAAGTATGAGACGTTGATCTGAAACCAGGCAGGCAGCACATATGTGAAGGAGGAGTTTGGGGAGACTGCTGGGGATGATACACCATTTGGGAACCATGGACCCCCATGAGGAGGCCAGGACCCCTCAGCCTGGTCTTCAAGGCCCTTTGCAGTCTTTTCCCTCCTTCCTTCTAGTCTCGTCTCCCTCTGCTCTCCTTCCTGGGCACTGCCCTCCAGCGGGGAGAAGCCCTGGGGGGTCCTGTGTCAGCTCTGCACTTCACAGCCTCTGTAAATATGGTCCTTCTTTTTTTGTTTTTGTTTTTGTTTTGTTTTTAAGGAAAAAAATCCTTAAGTTCTTCTTCTCTGCACTTTTAAGTTCTACTTGTTTTTCCAAACTCAACTCTGTGGCTTCTCTTTCAGGCCTGCTATTCCCGAACTGGACATGGTTGAACCCAGTCCTTAGATTTCAGACTATTTCATCTATTCCTCCTCTTACGGAAAATTAAGACATTTTTCATGAAGACATTCTTTTTTAAATTGAAGTAGAGTTGATTTACAATGTTGTGTTAGTTTCTGGTGTACAGCAAAGTGATTCAGTTATTTATATGTGTGTGTGTGTGTTTATACATATATATTTTTTTCTTTTCCACTATGGTTTCTTACAGGATATTGAATATAGTTACCTGTGTGATACAATAGGACCTTGTTGTTTATCTATTTTATATATAGTAATTTGTATCTGCTAATCCCAAGCTCCTAATTTATCCCTCCCCCACCACCTTTCCCCCTTTGGCAACCATCAGTTTATTTTCTATGTCTATGAGTCTGTTCTGTTTTGTAAATAAGTTTATTTGTGTCTTATTTTCAATTCTACATGTAAGTGATAGATGGTATTTGTCTTTCTCTTTCCAACTTACTTCACTTAGAATGATAATTTCTGGGTCCATCCATGTTGCTGCAAATGGCATTACTTCATTCTTTTTAATGGCTGAGTAGTATTTCATTATATATGTGTGTGTGTGTGTGTGTTTGTGTATCTTCTTCATTGGTTCATCTGTCAATGGACATTTAGGTTGCTTCCATGCCTTGGCTATTGTATAAATTGCTGCTATGAACACTGGGGTGCATTTGCCTTTCCAAATTAGAGTTTTCTCCAGATGTACGCCTAGAAGTGGGATTGCTGGTCATATGGCAACCCTATTTTTAGTTTTTAAAGGACCCTCCATACTGTTTTCCATAGTGGCTGCATCAAATTACATTCCCACCAACAGCGTAGGAGGGTTCCTTTTCCTCCACACCCTCTCCAGCACTTGTTATCTGTAGACTTTTTAATGATGGCCATTCTGAGTGGTGTGAGGTGGTACCTCATTGTAGTTTTGATTTGCATTTCTCTAATACTTAGTGGTGTTGAGCATCTTTTCATGTGCCTATTTGCCATCTGTATGTAATTAAGATGCTCATCCCACGAGTATACTTTATTTTGTACATGTCTGTTGCCCCCATTATTTTAAATTTCTTGAGGACAGATTCTCTGATTTCTGTATCTCTATTCAGTGCCTAGTATATTCTACCCAAGGCCTCGCCTCTGGTGAGCAAATAGTTGGCCCTCAATAAATGAGTGCATTGTTGGGTATCCATGACTATATCCTTGACCAAAACCCAGCTCTCTTTTATCTGGGCTCATACCTGGAGGGACCCCCTGAAAGGGAGTGAGGGAAGACATCTATTTCGTGAGTTTAGTCAACGTAAGGGAGCAGTGGGCAGCAAATGGCACTGCCTGGCCCTCCTCCTTATATGTTAATTATGCAAATAACTAATAAACTGGGCTTTGGTTTATAACACAGTGGTAAGAACACATTTCTGGAGTCAAAGTTACCTGGTTTTGATGTCTACTTCCTCCCCAGCTGGCTGCACAGCCGTGAGCAAGCTATTTCATCTTTCTGAGCCACCATCATTTCCTTATGTATAAAATGAAGATGCTCATAGCACCTGCTCATGTTCCCGAAATTAGGTTTGTTTGCAAGCCAAATGCTGGACGCCGAGGTTTGCAGCAGAGAAAAGGTTTATTCACAAGGCACCCAAGTAGAAAAGACAGGTTAACAAGTCTCAGATCCACCTCCCTTAAGGCGAGGGGCTTGAGATATGTATGGCTGAAGAGTTTAGGGTGGTCAGAGGTGCAGGGGAAGATGACTGGAGGCCGGAAAAGGGTGAGGTAATCGCTGCTCAGTGCAGGCGTATTTGAGTTACGTGCTTCTTCGTGGGGTGCATGCGCAGAAAAATAGAGACACTAGTTTGATCTGAGGATGGAGTTTTTGGTCCTCTGACATCAAAAGGTCATTCATCGGACACCCTGCAGTCCCAGTTTTAGGGCTGGTGGTCCTGAGCAGCCCTAGCCGGCTTGTACTAGACGAGAACTGGCTCGAAGTTCCTGAAAGCCACTGTTATTATCTCAACCCATGCGCCAGAGCTGTTATCTATAGGGGATGGTTAAGGAGTTTTCTGATACATTATCTAGGCTATGAGGGTATGTAGCTTGGAGGTATATAATTTGCAAAAATAATTAAGGTGAGTTTGATCAGTGAATGCAGGTTATAGGCGGGGTTTTTTTTTTTTTTTAACAGATCCCTTATCTGCTGTTCTGTAAGGCAAGCTCAAGAATTTCTGTTAGTCACCAGTTTCTGTTAACCCTATGGGGCACGGTTTCAATGGGATTATCATACTGATGAAATGAGGTAGCCCATACAAAGTGCTTGGGGAAGTCCCTGGAATGCAGGAGGAGCTCAGTAAATGTTAACTTATTACTGACTCTTACTATTACTGAGCGACAGCTGCTCCCCAGGTAGGGCGGGTTCCGCCCACTCCCTGAGTGAGCTTGCTCTTGTTCCTTGGCTACCCAGAGGCCCTATTCAGCACTTGGTCCCAGCACCCCCCAAACATCTAATTACGCAGTGATTTCAGGAAAAAGATTTATTTTGTTGATAATTTCATAGGGAGGTGGAAAGAGGGCTTTGTTCACACTGGCCGAGCAACGCTTCATTAATCCTCTCTAGAACCATTTCTGTCCTCTCCCTGCACCCCCTCCCACACAGCCTCTCCAGATCCTTTTGGATCCTGAACAATTTAGGCCTGGCTCTCAGCTTACGTGGTCCACTCAGCAAAGTCCCGCATTCAGCTTACCCCTCCTCCCTCCAAGGGCAGTTCAACCACTATCTATAGCCCTTGGTGGGCGGGAGTGGTGGTGGGGGCTTCACATCTCTCACCCCAACAAAGACAGAATTGTAAGGCCTTTTTCACATTGCCCTAGCAGAAATGCTTAGTTTTGAGACACAGGCCTGGTAAGTTCAAATCTACTTAATCCTGCCTCCTCCTGACCTGCTGGAGCAGACCAGTTGTCC